AAGAAGTAGCTATCCATCGAACTAAAATAATTATGCTATCAAAAAGTATTGAACTTGGGGTACATCATAAATAATTTCTTGAAGGCTACTTGCATCTGCTATTCGTAAATATTTTTAACTACAGGCTTATTTTCTTGAAGGTCCTCATGAGCAGCAGATGCTTTTAGTGAACAATTTGAAGCACGTTTTGTTTTCGTGTTCAGAAAGCTTTGGTTTGCAATTGTAAATAAATTCAAACCCTCAGGCTGTAGACCTGTGTATTTGGTGGAAATAGTCGCTCTTTTACTCATTACGTTCCTATTCTTTAAAAAATCGAGAAACCCCCCAAATTGGCTTACTATCTCGACATCTCGTAATAATCATAAATGCAGCATGACAAAAGATAAAACCAAGCAAAACTAATGGCAACTGAATAAGTATATTTGATTTCACACACGAGTTCTAGAGGTGAGCAACTGCAGTTCGGTCCGCACTCAACCACAAAAACCGAACTTATAAATAAAAATAACTTAATCTCAACGCAACATAATATAGAAAAATCGAATCAAAACTGAACCCTGAAAAACTGAAAACCCAACCGAATTGCACGGTTCGACCCAGTATTGCTCCCACCTATTAGCAATACCATACAGAGCACACGATCTTGAAACAAAATATATGAGTAGAAACTGCAAAGATTCAATCTTTGACCTAAAACTCAGAGCATTGTTTCTTTTCCTATCCGAACTCTAATTCATGATCTACCCCAAGTTCAATATTTATCACCTCCAGGTTTCAATGCATTTCATAACATGAAAAAAAATATAATATCTAATTATGACAGTTTGCTGCAAGTACCTGAACATCTGTGCAAAGCGAAGGCTTTAGGCAGAATTTGGGCTCCCATATTCACAAATCACACCGGAGAAGGAAACTTATTGTTGTTGCAACAGTTATATATTGTTTAAATATTAATAAGACGAACAAAAAATAAAATAATTAAAAAAAAAAACTGATTTTGTTGAGGACTTTCTACAAACAGGTGGTGTGCATGCTGTAGATAAACTAGTTACACGCACAAGTAAACGAATAAAAACCACATTGTTACATTGCAACCAGATACCACTGGTATTTTATCACTGGTTTAGACATAAAACTACTTCAGCTGAAATCATTTATTTGGTTCAAGCCAGTCGGCACACATTGACTACGTGTAACAAACCACATCCATACACTATTTCCTTAACAACTCCGGCCAAGCTCAAACAAGCATCCACACACTTTCTAATCAGATTTCAACCCAAAGCCCAAACACCCAGATTTCAATAACCCCCCAAGTTCACAAAAAATGGGCAGTAACGGACATCAAAAGATTTTTAAACCAAAACCAGACCAAATCACAAAACTAGGAATGCAAAAACAGTCAAAAAAACTCTATGATCAAACACTGCACGATAAATCATCAATTAAAATTAGACAGAAATTGGAAACTAAGCATACATCGGATAACGGGAACATTTACCGGAATCCGAATCGGTGAGTTTCTGTAACTTAACGGACTCAGAAGCCGACTGCAGGCTGACAATTGAAAAAAAGATTGTAACACAATATAGGTCTTACCAAAGAACGGCAGGCAGCGGTCGAAGGACAACTGCAGGCAGTCGACGGACGGCTGTCGCTCGAAGGAGGTCACTCGGGCTCGCGGTCAACAAACTGTGGATGGCCCGGTGGAGGTGTGGGGACGACGAG